GAACATATAGTTTTAAGTTAAAATTATATAAAATATGTAACAGAGAGAGAAATAGAAAACATTGAATATATTGTGAAAAGTACAAAACAATTTTAAGTACAAACTTGAGTAATAAACTCGTATCAAAGTCTCTTTAATATTTTATCTGCAAAGGCACGTAAAAAGGTGTCTGAAAACCAGTATTACACGTATTATAAAGTTCCTACAACATACCACATAAACTGGTTTAAACAGTTGTATAATTATAAAAAAAATTGAAATTACTCCGTGAGAATTTAAATTCGCGTGCAAATGTAGAACCTTCTAATAGCAATCTAACAGCTGAATAATTTTACATTGCATTCTTTGAAACTAACTGTTACATTATACATCATTAACTGTCTCTGGTCAAAACCTTAATAAGGAGATTTGTAATAATATGATAGATGACATGCAAATGTATGTTTACATTTTACAGGCACACTATGATTGACTTTCTTATAAAGTCAATCGTGTAAAATGTATCGTCTATACGTTTCATATTCCGATAAAATCAACTGAAAGTCATAAAACGGATTATCGGTAACCTACGCACGACGTAACTTGTTGACTGTTCGTTCACGTAAATTAAACGCGTGTTACATATTATTATTATTATTATTATTATTATTATTATTATTATTATTATTATTATTAAGGTCAATTATGTAATATAATGTCGGTAACCATGTAGAGCATAAAGGCCTGAGCTATTATTAATCGTAAAATGATTTATCGTAAAAATATCACCTATCCGATATGATAAAAGAAAGTATGCGAGGGATCGAACAAACGGCTTTTTAGAGGAAATTATCACGGACGTGGATATTGGATATCCTCATTCTATGGTTGCCCTAACTCGCCTTTTGATCGACGCGACGCTTGCACTCCGACAACATGTCCCAGCATGCAACGGAGTGCATTTATTTACCTTCTTAAGGGACGTGGCTAGATCGATTCATATATTTCAGCCCCTATGGGGGGTTGAGAATCTCGTGGCCACTTGGGAAATGAATCACACACCACGGAAGCACGAAAAATCGATACGTTCCAAAGCGGATTCGGTAACAAATGGTGCAAGTTCATCTTGGGAGACATAGGTTCAAGGGAAAAATTTCGTTTGCCTTTTAAAAACTTGAGGAACCATCGGATCTTCTTACAGTGTTTTTCTTTCTTAAATTTGTTTAACTTGGTTTTGTACTAGTTTTATAAGATTTAGTTTTGACATTTTATGAAAATACGGTTTTTTAAGAAAAGCGTTATCACTAATAATAAGCAAACAAATCCTTTCCAAAATTTATGAACTTCATAAATTCATTAATGAAAACACATTTATAAATTTTCAAAATTATATTTAACCATACTTTTTCGCAATTTAAATTTTAATCTTTCAAGTACACAGTTAATTTCTCCAATTGTAATAGATAGATTTTTTTATATTTGCAGTTAAGTTTTGAGACATCGAGTTTTAAAAAGTATATACATTTCTAGAAATTTTCGAAATATGTTCTTTTATATTTAAAATTATATTCAATTTTTTAATAAAACAGTTTAATGTCCGCCAAATTAGAATATAAATAGATAAACCATGTGTACAGTTTGTTTTCTAGGAAACACCATGGTTTCCTCTTTTGTATTGCCAGGAAATACCATAGATCGTTAAGTTTTTATGGGCAACATTTCTCTGCTCTTTTTGTGGTCCCATTCCAATTTTTTTCTTCTTTGTGCCGTTTCTTCTCTCGAATGCTATAAAGAGAATCGTTTAATCCATGAGAAAGGGGTCGGTACAAATGGTTCGTTCTTTTCCCTCGAGTTACAATGACCTTCATTGATCCATTGATTAGATGCAAATTATAGGGAACTCTAGAAACTAGAGTTCAAGTTTTGTTTAGCTGGGTCAGTGACAAAGGGTGAAATACAGACCTTGGCGTAACAATGATGACTCCTACAGAAATGCATCTTTTTACGTTCTTCACTCTGTAATTCTGCTTAATCTATATATGTTTAAATTTTACGTTCTTATTCTTTTATGAGTAACAATAAACATTATTTATTATTTTGTATAATTTTTGATTTTCAATAAATGTTATTTAATCTATATTTAACCTTTATTCAACCCTATACTTAATATGTAAAGCTTTAATGTTAAGATAAATTTATCATTATATTTTATTTTAGCAGTAAACTGATTAAAGGGCCAAAATAAATTAAAAATTTTGTAGAAAAATATATGTTAAGAACTTCACAGCGATTTTATAACAAAATTTAAATGTTATGCAACTTGTAAAATTACTTTTAAATTTTATTGTTGAAACATTTCATAATTTATTATTATAATTCTCCTTAAGGAAAATAACAAAAATGTTGTTTTATTAGCTTTTTCATTTGATTCTCGTACATATAGCTATTTTTAATTCAATAACACTCATAAGAAATAGTACAGTCTTAAAAAAAAAAATAATCCTTACTTTTAATGAAAAGTAATTCATGATTAATTTTTGAATTGTAATTTATCACAACGAATAAAAATCCATTAGTCAAAGTATAGCAATATAGACCTTATGAACCGACGATATTCCTCAATAATTTATTCATTTATAACGCGAAACGAACCCAAGTGTTCAAGTGATTAAGATGTTTATATTGAAAAAAACAAATCTACATTGATAAATATGATACCTAAACTAATTTAAATCAGATATTTTAATACAGAAAGCACGTTTAATATAATATTAATGAGAAGTACGTAAAATAGCTGACCTATATAAAATAAACAAAACGTATGTATTTTTTTCTTATCAATTATTGGATACAGGATAGTAATAAGGAAAATACTTCCTATTTTCGTATGACTTTATTGTTGATGTAGTGCGGTCAATTATCTTGATATCTATAAAATTAACTCATATTATATGTATTTGTTTACTCTATATACTCCTTTACTTGAAACTAGTATTTTAAGAAAAACGTAATATGTGAAATACACTAGTCAAAAAAATTAAGGGAACAGAAAAATTCCTTAAATTTTTAGGCCATTTTCAAATTGCTCTGCCTCCGTTGAAATTCATCACAGAAGACAACCAGAATAGTCATTTTGAAGCTTCAGGTCTCTAGTTTTCGATCCTTTATCTCAAAAATTTTTTGAGCCTATTATCATTAATAAAACATACAAAAAATCGCGATGAAAAAATTTTAGAATTTTTCTTCTTTTTTTTAAGGTTTGTACAGACGTAGAAAAATTTTGTTGATTAATGCCACTTCTAGACTGCTGTTCCCTGTTCCTTCCCCTATAATTTGCACGTCCATGAAGTTCGTTTCGATGATCGGTCGCAAAGTTCCGAGCTATCAAAGCCGAAATGACGCTTTTTCCTTTGATAGTCCTTATCTCATGAACCCATTATCGCACAGAAATTGTAAATACGGTTCCAGAAAGCGGAGAATGCACTCTTTAATATGGCTATATCAGTTTTTGATTCGATGTGTTCTTTTATGCTTAATATTGATGTAAAAAAACGTCAAAAAACGGCGTTTTTTCCTCAAATTACAAAAGTTACGGTATCTTTGTAAGTAAGTATTGTAATGATTCTGCCTAGGTTTTTTTT